AAAGCATCGAACGAGATTCTATCATTTCTTTCATGTAGGTCACTTAGAAGGACCCGAATTAGGGCCTCCCCGATGACAGATGGGGCTGCGTCCAATGTGTCTGTGAATTCAAATATTCTTTCCACCCTCAATCTTTGGAGTGGTTCAGTTATCCAGATCTGGAAAGGTGGTGGAGACTCCCCAACACTAGCGCTTCCAATGGGTGACAGGCCTAGGTAACCCCTTTGCCTTGTGAGGCTCTTGGAGTTTGTGGAATTAGTTCCTAAGCTAATTGAGAACTGGGTGGATTGTGCACAGTAGGGCTTTCCGTAAAATAGCTCCTCAGGGGAAAGCTCACACTGAAAGGCTGTCCAGGTATTTGTGAATCCACCTCGACCTTTTGCTTCAAACAGCAGTGTGTACAGTGTGGTTGAAAGATAGTTTGCCACCGGCTGCATGACATGCCGCAGGCCCAGCTTGTGGTCATTGTCTCGAAAAGGCAAGAGCATGGGGGTCTCTTCAAGGAGGTGGTGGATAGCAGTGGGGTTATAGAAATCTTTTGCATCGATTCTCAGTGGGAAGTGTCCCTTCAAACGAAACACTGCTTCAACTCTTGCGTATGTCCGGAATATTGTTTTTCTGGCCAAGTCATTCATGTGGTTCACATACGACTTGGCCTTTTGGAGGATTTTTCGTGTGTGGTTCGGGTTGTGAACCCCACAGGTCGCTATGACCCTGGTCACTGGGTGTCTTGTCATTGCAGCATGAATGTGAGGTGTGTTTGCATAAAGCTGCACAAATGTCACACCAGAGTACTTGACCGAACCGATGAAAATGTCCATTAGCTGTCTGTCAACAGTTAAGGGATGGCAGTCAAGGTTAGATTGGAACAGTAACTAATTAAACCTACACACACGTTTTGCAAATGCAGATGAAACTAGTTAACTGGCAGGTAACTAATTAAACCAAATAACTTGATGTTTAATCTATTGCAATCACACTTTGTTCTTTTACACCTTTTCAGAACAGTACTAGTTTAAATCTAAACCAGAACAGAATGGAGCACACTTGTGTTGATTGGGTCTGACGATACGGTGGTGTTTCTGTATTCAGTCTGTGGTCAACAAGGATTTCTTCAATAGAGTCAAGAAGAACTCTCTTATTTGGTCCCACAGTCCATTGATGATTACAGCAGGCCTTAAATAATGATCAAATTCAAAAAGAAATTGTTCTCTACACTGACTCTTTCATGTGCAATATATTCAAATTATATATAAACCAGTATTTTTTTTTGTAATACAAACCTGTACACTTCTTCATAAATACTCAAAAATATTTCTAATTCAACATTTCATCTCAACAGTTCTGCTACTTTTTTTCCAATTTCTTGCAGAAGTTATCTATTCAGCAAAAAACCACATAAAATATGTTTCTTGAGCAGCAAATCATAAATGAACTTTTCCACGACATTCTAATTTATTGAGATGCACCTGTAGTCACATACAAAAGAAAAAGCTATTTTAAATTGTAATAATCTTTCACAATCTTACTGTTTTACTATGTTTTCATACAATAAATGGAGCTGTGGTTAGCATAACACATCACTTCGTCGGCTTTACATTTCGTAGATCCTGACGCCAGGTGAGTCATATCAAAAATATGAACAAAAACTATGATTATGATAGGCTATATTTTATGACATACGTGGAGCTAAATATGAACACCAGACAGTCGGGTAGAGACGAGACTTACTAACAGATCAAATGCGTTACTAAATACACGACTGTGATAGCCCATATGATTTGTCTGGTTTCTTCAAGTGGTCGTATGTACTGTTTACAGGAACAGTTTCTTCCCTCAGACAATCCATCTCATGAACACTTGACAATAAACGTGGAACACACAACACTATTATACATCATTTATTTAACACACTTATTTACACCTCAAATCTGCACAGAACATACATAATTGTCTATATTTTATACTGTTTTTGCTATTCTGTATATTTGTATATTATTCTTTTATTATCTGTGTTTTTGTCCTGTCACTGTCATTCTGTTGCACTGTGGAAGCTTGTCACGAAAACAAATTCTAGCATTCTGATTCTATACAGAATTAGCATATCTATATTTTGCTAATTTGTCTGCTTCCTCATTCCCTAACACTGCAGTATGTGCCAGAACCAACAAGAACTGATCTTATTTGTCTGTTATAACATATAAAACAACTGAAGTATCTCCAAGACAACATCTTGTCTAAACCAAACATCATTTTACTACACATCCAGCCTGAGCAGCGCTTCTTGTAAGGCTGAAAACAAGCGAAAATGCAAAGGTTAGTGTTATTTTGTTTTTTGCATTTTGGGTGTGTAAGATCGTAGTGTGACAAACCTTGTTGTTGATTGATGTTTGTTTTGTCTTTAGTGGTTTTCAGTTGCCTGTGGTCTCCTCACTGCTTTTCAACAGATGCTTCTGAGTCTCTGCAACACAGATTTGACTTCGATGGAGTTGTAGTGCAGTAGTCAGATGGGTCTTGCTCAAATGCTGCACTACATTACCTGTTGAAAACAGTATGAACTGCATCATCCCTGAGAAACGATTCCGCTCTCGGCAACTGATGAAATTGAGAACGAAATTCCGGTTTACAGTCAGATTTGGAAAATACTTTTAACTAACAGCCCTTAGAACATTTCTCAGAACATCATGCATTTACAGTACAGAGATTCTGTTGGTGCGTTGGGTGAACTTGTAAAAGCCAGCAGTCTGAAATTCTACAGGCCTAGAGTTCATTTGAGTCAGATGGTGAATTCATTGTAAATCCATGGACAAAGAGCCTAGTCTTTTACTAAATTTAATGTGCTCTATGTATGTGTGTTGATCAATATTTATATACGAATAAAAGCCTTAATTAAATCTGTTCATCATATAAAGTGCTCATGTGTCTTCAGAAGACTTGGATTAAATGGCTTGATTCATGTGGATTACATTTACAATGTCTAAGATTATTTGGGTAATGAATGTTTTGGATTAGTTACCTTTCATAAATCACCTGGGTTTCATTATAAACACCATTTCCAAGTCGAATGTTTTATGGGATTGGAATGGAGTGCGGGTCAACAAATGGTGTCAATTTTTGGGCAAGCTATCCCTTTAAATGCATATTATTCAAATCCACTAAAATTTCTTGACTTTACAAAGTGATTCAGCCTGAATTTACAAAAAAATAATTTTAAGTTAAATCAAAAAGCTATGAATCATGAATCAAATCAAATGTAATAAATGCTAATAAGGTGCTGCCTCGATGTCAAGCCTCTTCCCCAGAGCTTGGTTTTATAAGTGTGTATGGATGTGAGGAATAGAGTAGCGAGGTGTGTGAGCAGATGTGCAGAAATCCCTGTCACCAAAAGAATGCTGGGATCAATAGTAAGCCAGAGTCAGAGGACCTGATTGTGCAAGCTGGGATGTAACGATGAATGAGGTCTGAGGAATACAGTGCCAAAACAAGTTGCCAGGTGGGTTGATAGATAGATGCTCAACTGGATTGAGATGTGGGCAATATGGCCTTCTTCACATAATGCATCCAGCTGCCATCTCTTCCCCGCGTAAACCACACACACACCTGGGGCCTGTACCATGATGGTAGCTGAACAAATTTCGAGCATTAGTTTTGAGTTGACAAAACCAAACCACTCCAATCCGGCTTTGTTGGTACCATGATGCCGATCATCAACTTTCTTTTTCAACTCGTGCTTTGATCCTGAGTTTGTGGAGCGCATGCACACGAATGTGTGACATCACTGGCGAACAGCCAATCACGAGCCTCACAACACAGAGCAAGTCTGATTCACTTCTCGCGAGAGAGCTAACGAGATCAGAAACTCTTTTGCTAAAGGTTAAAAGATTGAAGAATTTAAACAAATTTACACTGAAGAAAGTGTTTGTCCATGAAAGAGGACAAATAAAAGAAATGATCTTGCTCTATCATTGCAGTCAGAAGTGAAACTTCTGAAGTTATTTTATATAGTTGATAATATATAGCGATAGACTCGAACATGTAAAGTCACATGTCATTTTTAAAGCATTATCATCTGTATATATTAATATTAATTTAAAATCAATGCTTTATAATAATTGTTAAACTAAAATTGCTTGTGTGATGGATTCATAATAATATAAACCATATAAAATAATTATTATAAGTAATTATTAAAATATTATTATAAGTAATTATCATTAAAGCCAGACATTTTTTGTTTTTTGATTTGGACCTTTAATTTGGAGAAAGAGAAACTGGGGGATTGACTTTTTTGTGTCAGACATGTGTCACTTTGCTCACATCTGATTGGAACATCCAGCTCAGTTTAAATAGTATCTTTGCAATCAAGTCAACGGTATCGCTGGAAATGAAGTGTCCCCAACTAAGCAAGCCAGAGGCGACAGCGGCAAGGAACCAAAACTCCATCGGTGACAGAATGGAGAAAAAACCTTGGGAGAAACCAGGCTCAGTCGGGGGGCCAGTTCTCCTCTGACCAGACGAACCAACTTCAGTTTGAGATCTCTAACTCAGAACATAAGCTGCCCCGGAGCAGGTTAGCTGTGCAGTGTAAGTTACTATGGCAATGAACGCCGCTAAAAGCCAAGCCACTTTCATGGTACCTAAAACCCAGGATTGGTGCAAACTAAACTGAAACGTACCTGGTTAGCAAGCTAATCCGGCTTCATGGTAGAGGCCCCAGGTGTTCATATGGTGTTTACATTTTTCATAAGTTTGAGATCCAGTAGCTCTTCTGTGTGATTGGACTAGCCTTTGCTCCTCAAGTGTAGCAACGAGCCTTGGACGCCACAACCCTGATGCCAGTTCAGCGGTTGTCCTTCACTGCACCACTTTGGAAAGTACTAACCACTGCATACAAGACTAGCTGTCTGGAGATGCTCTGGGGCAGGGGTTCAGTCCTAGAGAGCCACTGTCCTGCAGAGTTTAGCTCCAACCCTGAAAAACCAACACACTAGCCTTAGTAATCCTGAAGACATTGATTCGCTTGTTCAGGTGTGTTTGATCAGGGTTGGGGTTAGCCACATTCAGTCCCATATTTGAAATATGTCCCATAGTTTACATTTTGAGTGCATTCTCTCCGTAAACGTTAATTAAATAAATGCAGTGCAGTGTTCATAATTGCATTCAGTTTATGTCCTCTCATTTAGAATTGTTCATTAATTGCAGCATTTCACAGCAAGACAGAATTTTTTTATTCTGATTTATCAATATATGGAATGAAGTGATGCCTCAATACAAATTAGAGTTGCTTAATGTTTAAAACTATAGCAAAGGAGATGGTGAAGCCTGGCCACAAGTGTTCATATGTACATGACAAAAGAAAATAAAAATATAATGACATGAAGGATGCAAATAAAACAAATGAACATCAACCAAATCACTGACCATCTGATATGGGCCACTTTTAAAAGTCACTTTAACAGCCTGGCCAAAAAACTTTCTACATTTGACCAGAAAAATCAAATTTGGGCCACATTCAGCTGCAGTGTGAACGTAGCCTTAATTTCACACAAACTCATATTTTCTTGTGCCATTTCAGATTGCTAGGCCATTTGAAACTCTTTCCACACACTGAACACAAATACGGTTTCACATAAGCACGAGTTTTCATAGCTTCTCTCTGGTGTGAAGCCTCATGAGATTCTTGAAGGTTTTAATGAACCGGCAAATAAAGGTCGCATTTCAGAGGCCAATCATTTTATGGCACTCGTTACATATAAAACTTCTTCTCTTTCAAGTGAATCCTCATGTGTCTCTCAAGGGTACCTTTACCTGCGAAACTCTTTCCACACTGATCGCAGGAGAACGGCTTCTCTCCGGTGTGAACGTTTATGTGATACATGAGGCTGACTTTGCATGCGAAGACCTTCCCGCACAGTTTGCAGGTGAAAGGGCTCTTTCCAGTGTGACTTACCATGTGGGAGTCAAGAGCTGTTTTATATGTGAAACTCTTTCCACACTGAGTGCACGAGTAAGGCTTCTCTCCAGTGTGAAGTCTCATGTGGGAGTCAAGAGCTGTTTTATATGTGAAACTCTTTCCGCACTGAATGCACGAGTAAGGCTTCTCTCCAGTGTGAAGTCTCATGTGGATTTTAAGACTTCGTTTTTCAGTGAAACTTCTTCCGCACTGTTGGCATACTAAACAGTTCTCTCCCGAGTGAATCTTCAAGTGGTTATTGAGGCTTGTTTTACAAATGAAACTCTTTCCACACTGATCGCAGGAGAACGGCTTCTCTCCAGTGTGAAGGTTCATGTGATACATGAGACCAACCTTGTTTGTGAAGACCTTCCCGCACAGTTTGCAGGTGAAACGGCTCTTTCCAGTGTGACTTATCATGTGGGACTCAAGAGCTTTTTTATATGTGAAACTCTTTCCGCACTGAGTGCAAGGGTAAGGCTTCTCTCCAGTGTGAAGTCTCATGTGGATTTTAAGATGTGCTTTGTCAGCGAAACGTCTTACGCACTGTTGACATACAAAGCAGTTCTCTTCCGAGTGAATCTTCAAGTGGTTATTAAGGCTTGTTTTACGAAGAAATCTCTTTCCACACTGATCGCATTTAAATGGCTTCTCTCCAGTGTGTTTGTTCAAGTGATACTTCAGGTTTAGTTCTGTTAAGAAACTCTTTTCACAGTGTTGGCATGCAAAAGGCTTCGGTCCAGTGTGAACTATCATGTGATTTTCAAGGGTTTGTTTTCGAATGAAACTCTTTCCACACTCTTGGCAGGTAAAATCTCTCTCTCCGGTGTGAATTCTCATGTGTACTTTCAGGCTTGCAGTTTGAGCATAACTCTTTCCACACTGTTGGCAGGTGTAAGGATCCTCTTCATTGTGGATTCTCATGTGTTCTCGAAGGCTCTCATGTTCACTGAAACTCTTTCCACACTGTTGGCAGGTGAAACCCTTCTCTTCATTGTGGATTTCCATATGGGCTCTAAGGCTTTCATGTTCACTGAAACCCTGTCCACAATGTTGGCAGGTGTAAGGATTCTCTCCATTGTGGATTCCCATGTGGAGTCTAAGGCTTTCAGGGTGAATGAAATTCATCCCACACTCAAAACAGGTGAAATAACCCCCAGTTAGTGTCTTCTGAGCTGTTTCTCGTGAGGAAGTCTTTTCAGTCTGTGAGCACCTAAAAGAGTTCCCTCCAGCTTTGAAATTATTCTTATTTTGGACTTTCTCTTCTATTTGATTCAGTACTTCATGTTCCTCTTTCAGCAGCATCATGTCTAAGGCAAAAAGACAAATAAAGATTTACCCCACTTTAATGACAAAGCCACAGACATCAAAAAATTTTTTACATTTGAAGGGGTTCTATTACGCTCTTTTACAAAGTCTTGATTTTGTTTTGGGGGTGTACTAGAACAGGCTCTCATACTAGGTTGTTCGAAAAACAATTTTTTTTTTTACATATTTTACATTAATACAACACCTCTCTCCCCAGTCTGGCATGAACGGCTCGAATAGTTCCTGTATCAAATGAAGGCCCGCCTTCTGAATTACGAAATGTGCTGTGATTGGTTAGCTGGGCCAGTGTGTGCTCTGATTGGTTAGCTGGGCCAGTGTGTGCTGTGATTGGTTAGCTGGGCCAGTGTGTGCTGTGATTGGTTAGCTGGGCCACTGCGCGCTGTGATTGGTTAGCTGGGCCAGTGCGAGCTGTGATTGGTTAGCTGGGCCAGTGCGCGCTGTGATTGGTTAGCTGGGCCAGTGTGTGCTGTGATTGGTTAGCTGGGCCAGTGCGCGTTGTGATTGGTTAGCTGGGCCAGTGCGCGTTGTGATTGGTTAGCTGGGCCAGTGCGCGTTGTGATTGGTTAGCTGGGCCAGTGCGCGTTGTGATTGGTTAGCTGGGCCAGTGCGCGTTGTGATTGGTTAGCTGGGCCAGTGCGCGTTGTGATTGGTTAGCTGGGCCAGTGCGCGCTGTGATTGGTTAGCTGGGCCAGTGCGTGCTGTGATTGGTTAGCTGGGCCAGTGTGTGCTGTGATTGGTTAGCTGGGCCAGTGCGTGCTGTGATTGGTTAGCTGGGCCAGTGTGTGTTGTGATTGGCAGCACTCGGCCCCTGGTCGGGAAATGTCATGCCCTTTACCATAGCTGCCTGCGAGCTTTAGTGTAAATATTGCGTCAAAATCAAATCAATTTGAGCGCGATTTAAACCCGGATGATTATAACCACTCTAAGTTCATCTGCCTTGGGAAAGCTAGCGCGTCTCCAACATAGTGATAACACTCGTTGCCTTCTCTAGTGTAGCTCAACCAGGTCTCGAGCCATTCGTCAATATTTGTGATATCACAAATCCCAGAAAATATGCATTGTAGTCCAAACGAGTCGTTTGTTGTAGTTTTTGAAAAGTGATTACTGTTAAATAAAATATCTCCTTTTGAATTGGACTTTGAACTTTGTAACTTTGCAGATCTTTTTTATGCTCAAACAGCAACATTACAGACTAACTAAAGTTGAAAAAGTGAAAAAGCATAATAGGACCCCTTTAAAGAATCAACATAGATAATCTAAACCAAAAATATGTACAATAGACCCCATAGTTAGTAGATTGAAAATTCAAAGCGTTTATTGTCATGTGCACAGTAAGGAAAAACAAGTTTCCCTGTACAATTAAATTCTTTCTTTGCTGTCCACAGTGAATGCCAAGACAAGTGCAAAAACTATGTAAAGAATAAAAAGAATAAAAAAATAAGAAACACACACATATATTTGAGTGATTCTATAATTGCAGGTACATTTGGTGTCCGAAGTCTTTATTTTTTTTCAGCTTTTTTTCAAATGATTATATTTTTAATTATTTTAATACGGTGTTACTCATTGTTATGAATTACAAGATGTTACAGTCCATAACAATATAATATTTTTTGCAAAAAGTGTCTTAAATAGCTGAAAATCATGATTTCTTGTTGTCCAAATTAGTCAGTGCATTGTTTCCATCATGTATCATTGTGTAATCAAAATATTTTATTGTACTTTTCTTGTTGTAATATTTCATTCATTTTATTTATAAAAGCCCTAAAGAGTCATTTACCTAATTCTACAACATTAAAAAAAAAAAAAACTTTTTTCTTATAAAGAATGTGTGTCCGTAAATCTTGCGTCAACTCTGTTACCGTACCATACTTTGCCTTTAAATTGATGGAATTATCTCCCACAACTACGTAAGATACAGGAAATTATGTCACTCTCCCTCACTGTTAAGATCTGAAGCACTGAAAAGTGTGTGTGCTCACTCGGAGAAAATATTTTAATCTAAAAGTTCTTACACCAAGAGTTATTTTATAAAGTGTCAAATCTGTTACCAGAATATCAAAAGGAAAACAGATTTTTTCATTGATCACACTTTGTGTTATTTAAAAGTCTTTTAATCATGATTTCATTAGTGTCATGTGCTCTTAGCATTTATGCTATCAAGTGGAGTTTTTGGCAAAAAATAAAGAAAATTGTCAATTCTGTTAGTCAAACTCTGTTACCAAGGTAGAGTAACAATGCTGACAATGCGGTAACACAATTGACAGTCCATCAGACAATTCTGTCACTTTACAACTCTGTTACTTAAAGGGTCAACTCTGTTTATGAACAAAAAAACAAATTTGTTGTTTAAAATCCTAATCAACATTATTGATTAATTTTTGCACCCTTATAATATTTCAACAACATTTCTTTTTTTTAACTGGATATTGTATATAATACATTTTCAGATGAAAAATATTTGCTCCAAGTGGACGGTTCTGTGAAGACATAGATTTTTTTTTTATTTTTAAGGTATGCATAGGTGAAATATATATATAGTTTCAAGTGATGGAATGTAAGGACTGTTTGTCTAATGAAACAAGAAGGATTTTTCCTGTTATAATTTATTGTTATTCCTACACATTGTCTAATTTGTCCGTAACAGAGTTGACAAACAATACCATAAAGATATCTGTTTTTTCATTAAAAGTAAAAAAAAAAAAGGAAGTAACTTGTGTTTGGCAAGCACTGAATTATTAAAATTAAATATGTTATCAATAAGATACTGGGGGGAAAAATCTATTAGTGAAGAGTTTTTTTTTCTTAAATTTCTGCAATGCCAAATGTATCTCCAATTATAGAATCACCCATATATATACACACACAAACATAATAAAAAATAAAACTATGCCGCAGGATTAGAAATATAGACTATGTATGTACGTGCAAGTGTACAATGTATTTTTTTATGTTGCAATATTGACGTATGTGCAAAACAATAGCACGGTAGCGTGCAAACTGAATGCAACTGTAGGTAATAATAGCAGCAGCAGTAACATTAACAATGTGCAAACTGAGATGCAGCTACTTGATAAGTCAATATTGCAACATAAGCAGTAATGTTATTGCTGCTATTATTATGTGCAAAACAATAGCACGGTAGCGTGCAAATTGAATGTAACTGTATGATAATAACAGCAGCAGCAGTAACAATAGCAATGTGCAACAAGAGATGCAACTACTTGATGATAATAGCAGCAGTAACATACAAATGTGCAAAATGAGAAGAAGCAATTCAGTCCAAATAATGTATGATAGATGAGACTAGTCTATGTCCTCTGGCTACCTAATGGCTGAGGGAAAGGAGTCCCTTAAGCTACTAAGAAAGTTAATAAACTCTTAATTCAATATTGTCAACACCTCAATATTGTCGACTCTTTGACATTGCCCAGGAGAACTGGTTAATTATAAATCTACCATATGTCATGTCTAAAATAATAGAAACAGTATGTTTAAAAAATATATATAAACTTTTTACATATTTCCATCTTTTTTATGAAACCATGCAGCCGTCAGCTACAGTATCACATCAGATAGTGTGCTATAGATCCCCTGAGGAACAATTCCATTCATTCTCTACTATAGGAGAGGAAGAATTGTATAAACTTGTTAAAGCAGCACTATGTAACTTTTTCTGTGTTCATCATGAATTAATCTTCCAAACTGCATTTTTGTCTTATTCCGAATCACTACGGTACACTTATAATAAGTACTTATATTTGGACTACTGTAGCCTGGTCGGGTCATCACCGCTGCGGAGTAACACATACCTGCGTGAATCGCCAGAGACAAACTTAGAGAAGTAGCTTCGGTTGGAATGTTCTTCCGCGGGATGTGTGCAGTTCTGTTTATTAACCACTAGAGCGTCAAAAGTTACACAGTGCTGTTTTAAATAATCTAAACCAACAACATGTATGTTAGACCCTATTCGATCACAAGTGCAGTATGGAGTACCTCAAGGCTCAGTACTAGGGCCGTTACTCTTCACGCTTTACATGTTACCCTTGGGAGATATCATCAGGAAACACAGTGTTAGCTTTCACTGTTATGCTGATGATACTCAGCTCTATATTTCTTCACGGCCCAGCGAAACATACCAATTTGCAAAACTAACGGAATGCATAGTTGATATAAAAAAAACTGGATGACTAGTAATTTCTTACTGCTAAATTCTGAAAAAGTTACTGGACCAAAAACTTCTGCAAAAGGTCCTTGGGGTACGGCAGTAACCTGAAGCTCCGACATGTCTCTCGTGTCTCTCAAGTTTAACGGTATGTGAATTATGTACCACACAGTGCCATGTTAAATGCAGCAAATTTTCATGGTTCACACCAGCGACACGATTGCAGCTGCCCTAAAAGAAATGCTAGACAAGTGGCAAATTCCATTGAGAAAAATGACAGTATTCTGAGGAACGATACCAGCAACATAAGAAAAGCAACGCACTGTGCATAAAATCCAGCTCGTAGTCAACGAGGGACTTCTTTCACAATGCAGTGTGAGTGATGGTGTTGCAAGTGGGATACACATTGTTGGACACTTCAAATATTCTCCACATATTCTTAGATGCAAGATATCCAGTTCGAGATAAATGCCTCCAGCGAGACGTCAAAACGAGGTGGAATCGCACCTACTTCATGACAGAAAGTCTGTTGGAACAGAAGCAAGCCCTGTCTGCCTGTGCCGCTGACCATGACCAGCCCACAACACTCACGGCAAATGAGCGGGTCTTGAACCGTTTGAGAAGAACAGCAGCAGCTTAATGAAAGATTTAACAAAAAGCGGGAGGAGCATGAGGGAGATTGTGGTGCAGCAAGCAGCTCCAGCACTGCTGTACAGACACATGGATTTTTCACAGAGGAAACGATTCCTGCCACACATGACCCATACAAATGCTGGGGAGTCAACCACCAGCGGTTTCCTGGCCTTGCTGCCGCTACCCTGGAATACCTCTGCATGCCCTGTGCTAGCGTAGAAAGTGAAAGGCTGTTCTGCACCGTCTCCTGCATCCTGGATGAGAAGTGAAACAGACTGACAGCCGAGAGACAGAAATGCTTGCTTTCCTAAGCAAGAACCTGCCAGTGATGCTTAAGCCTGAGCTTGAGAAATCTGCTTGAGCAAGTCACCAAAAGTGATGTTTATGCATTAATTTGCAGTGGTGATTGGCTGACGTGGCTGGAGAGTACGCGTCTACATCATCAGTTTTCCAAGCTTTTCTCAGTATTGTTCATAAGTATAAACTCTTATGATCCAATCACTGTATTATGAATAAGGTTGTATTACAGGCTTCCGTGCCACCAGTTCATCTCTGTAAACATGACCGTAACAATATTTAATATGAAAACACGTGGAGCGCGCATGAGAGAGCAGTTTATGTGCAGAACGCCACAATGAGTTTAACAACACTCGCTGCGCGGATCATAGTTCATATCCGGACCGGAGCAAGCGTGTTTAAAGTTTGTGAACATATTTCATATTTTCTCTCCTCCAAACATGAACCAGCACAGTGTATGCACACATATCATGTCTTCTTCAAATGAAATATGCACAAATAAAGGCGTTAATACAGCGGTACGTCTGATCATGAACGCGATGACACCACGGATTATTGTGATACACAGTATCTGTAAATATTAAGCCGCAAAATACCATTTTAATAAGAATCCTGCATTTCTGCATGATTGAATGGCACAGACGCGCGGTTTTGTTTACTACATACACTAGACAGAAAATCTGAAATACATTCAGGGGATTCATTTTTAAATAATTCACCTTGGTCTCTAAAAATGACTGATATTGACCGAATTATCAAATTTAGCACTCTTATGAAAATATTATAATGCTTTGTAATCATCATTTAAATCTGACTGATTTTCAAACTGTTTGTCATAAATAAACATCTCAGAAACATGTTATGGATTTTTTTTAATCAGTATTAAACGAAACAGGGCGTTATTTTCATACGTGTCTTCTGTAGAGGACACAGCACAAACAACATGTTAATCATTTAGAGCTGGCAGTCAATAGAGAGCAAGATTATAGATCAATATTCCTATGAAATATGATATAACCTTATGAAAAGTTATTACTCCCATTATTACAGCTCTTTTCTCATTACATGTTGCCCCAACAACACATTAAAAGGCTAATTAGATTCAATGTATCGATACTTTGTATAGAATGGGACAACCAATTTAAGGACATTTTACACACTTACTGCATAGAGTAAAATAGTTTATTTAAACGAAGCTACAAAACCTTAAAGAGAAATCCACAGAAGAACAGACCGGGTACAAAAACATCTGACCACTGAGAAAATGCTCTTAACACCAAAGCCTTTAAGAGCAGGACTGTCTTTAGTCCGTATACTGGTGCTTTTGGCTTATTTACTGTGAATGTTTGCTGCTATTTATGTTCAGTAACGTGCTTCTGACGATGAAAAATATCACTTGCATTTCACGGTTTATGAAAAGTTGTATTTTGTTTTAATTAAGTGAATTAGAAATGAATGCAGTTCATTGTTTTCAGTTCAGAGGTTGGTTCTGGGGTGTTATGTTTTGTCTTGGCTACTTCTGTATTATTATTATTATTATTTCTAAATGACTGCATTATATGAGATGATGATGAATGGCAAGCAGAAGCAGGATCTCATCAGGTGCATTTATAACACTCACATATATCAGTCTTCAGAAATATCAGTCATATCTGTAATAGAGATCAAAGAACTGAGTTGAGCTCAGAATGAAACTAACCTGTCTCTTCATGTTTGAATGCGTCTTCAATCCTGGTGTCTTCGCTCTCCTCTTTAATAAACGCCATCTGTACAACAGTCACATTCATTAACAGAGAATCATAAACACAAGCTACATCTCTGGCCCTAGTGCAGTCAGCAGTCAAACTGAGACTTAATGACCTGAAATTACCTCATCAGACTAAACACGCTCAGAACTAGCTCTACACGTCAATAACAGAAAGCTAATCACACAGGAGGTTCGGTGATTTATGTTCGGTATTGTAGATGATATTGACTACACGCTGATGAAATCGTTTGTAAGTGTAATAGTCGAGATTTCACGCGTTGTGTGTTAGTTGTTCTCATTCGCACTCTTTCCAGCAGCGGTTTCAAACTGTGGATCATTTTGCGAGGTTTTGACTCCAGAAGTTTCGAAAAGCAGACTGTTTTCTGTCACTACACCCCAGACAGAGAGATCGTACTTACCATAATAATGTAATAATTACTTCATGTACATAGTTTGTGCGAACTATACAATAACTCGGTTTAAAACTTAAAACACAACCCTTTCTTCCGGCGAATACGATGACGTCACGCCGCCGCGCCAAAATAAAAGTCGGCTTCTTCTTTTGAGGTTTTATTGGCAGTTACAGGATATTTGCTTAACTATATACTTTTATTTAATTGACTTTCTTTTATAAACGCTATAATATAATCACATATGTCTTCTCTAATAGACCTGATAATGTCCTTCTGTTTTAATTCTTCAGTGACTGATTCAGATGAAATCTCTGCTTGTTGTAAGTATCAGCAGTTTCTCGTTGACTGCAGTAAATGCATTAAATGTATATGATGTATGATCTATTCTCAGCTGAGGTCTGGTTTCTCCTTCCCTTCGTTTCATATATTATAGAAATACTGTTTCATTAATTCCTTTATTTCTTGCCTTCACATCACCTCTCCACACAACACTTGTAAAAACGGTCTCATAATGTTCCCAGGGTTTTTTCAGTACTTTTGACAAGATGCCTTTCATTAACTTCACTCTTCTAATGCTTAAAGACACAAAATATGTCCTGTTTTCACGTTAATGTCATAAAAGAGCCTAGAGTACACAGGAAAACACATGAAGAATAAAACGGTATTCAGAGCTGTGTTCTTGGTGAAAAACATGGTCTGTTGTCAGTGAAAGTGTGTCGCACATCTAATGTGTGGAAATCTCTCAAAGGAGATTTATAACAGGGATTGGGAACGGTTTTCTTTTATTACCAGCCAATTATGTAATCCTTGGAATATGAAATACACACACACTTCAGAGTCGTGTTCAGGATGCATTCACAGATATATAACACATACACACACACAGCTGTTATATAGATAGAGATAGATGTCAGTTTCAGAAACGAGAAGCAGCAAGCACACGTATGTTATCAATGGACTGAAGACTCTTGACAGTGAGAATCCGTGGAGAATTACAGACACAGTCAGGCTTTATGAGACCATTATATCTTTCACTGTCTTTAATTTGTGACGATCTCCTCGACACATTTACACTAGACCCAGTTCTTAAAGAGATAGTTCAGCCAAAATGAAAATGTTCTGTTCTTTTACTCACCCTCTTTGTTTCTTCAGTAGAGCAGTAAAGAAGGTTATTTGGTGATTCATAGAATAGAAGTCAGCGGCTACGGTCACTTTGAGAATATAAAAGCCACATACTGCTCCTGTTATTGAGGTCCTATGAAGCATTTGTAAAGATCTGAGGGCCGTTTCGCCCAGTTTGCTGATGGTCTTCATCAGCGCTGATATTATACAATATTAAACTGAAATTAATATGACAGTCATCACAATCCATGGAAAGCCATTCACCTCTGCCATCCACAATCAGTAAAATGAAATGCCACTACGCCACCAACTATTGCTAGTTCTTATGAAGTTGAGACAAAACTTTGAGGTGAAGGATCTGTCTTTCAGAGTTCACACATCTGAACCTAGTGCAGTACTCTGTTTAACTCATGGGTTTACTGCATGTGTGCTTGGGGAACTCCCTGTATGGCCACACAGAGATGTCATAAGTTCTCAAGTGCCAGATGAATATAAAAATGACTTTCCTACAACTGTGACCATACTTGATAGCACCGGACGTAATATTGGGAAGCCAAGTTCATTGCTGCTGCAAAGCCAAACTTCCTCAAACTACAAGTCAACCAACACTTTAAAATCATTAATGGCATGTGATGCACGTGGTGCTTGAACAAGGGAGACTTGAAGTAGTGCTTCAACTACTTGAACAAGGGAGACGCTCTAATGGTTGACATGGTTTCTCATCGAAAAAGAGTTTGAACACCCTGCTGTAAAGTGATTCTGTGAAAAACCTGCCCTTGAGCCGTTTCCATACATAGTTTATTTTTAAATTAGTAAAACAGGAGTTAGTAAAACAACCGTCCATCGATGTGTATAAGCTGTATGCACATCTATTAAAGACAAAATAATGCGGCGTTATATCAGGCTGCCGAATGTAGCGGAGGCCAATGATGTTGCATGCCGTGGATCCTTCGCGCATCTTGTTTACGGTGCGCTGGATGGCACACACATACATTAATGGCTGGCCATCTGTTGTTCTCCAGGCGCTTATTGATGACAGGTGCATGATACGAGCCTCAGATCTGTACAGCTAAAGCCTAACCATTCAACAAAAATAGTGAAAATAGCTTTACACTATAAGATGTCTTTCAAAGTTGTGCACTGTAAAATATTAGTTAAGCTAAGTTTATTTGACAAAAGAAAGTTGTGATAAATCGTAAAAATAATTTTGTTGAAGTGTAGTCATGATTAACACAAGCTATCAAGTGTTGCTCTGTCTTACAACTATATGATCTACACGCTGCATTATAATATCATATAACATCACTGAAGATGTTATCAAAACTATTTATGGTTTAAATCAGGTAGAAATAGCTCTTTGAGGAAACAATTGCGGATTAACACTTTTTACAGTGTGAAAGTAGATTAAAGCAGGGGGTATTAAATTGTGAAATTATTAACAATGGGAAAAATGTGAAATATTGAAATATATGAAACTTGAACATATTATTGCTCATTTTATTTGTAACAAATAATTGGTACGTTTGCTCTATAAAGATTTTGTAACTTTTTTTATTTACCCCTTTAAACCTTTGTTGGATGAGTATAACATTTAAGGGAACATAAAAAAAGATTAATTTCAAATTATAAGATGTTTCTTCTGGAACATTAAAGAATATAAAACACAGTTGCAGTGTTTTTTTACTTCTCTTGGATACAAGAACAATTGTAAGTGGAAATAAATGGCATCTAAATTAAACTCAAGATACTCTTGTTAAGAGCACAAACTGAACACATTTTCTGCAGGCTTTGTTTTAAATGTACGACGGCGTTTTAGTGCCAGTTAAAAAAATAAAATACAAATCTAAGATTATGAGATTAGTCGTAATATTTCGAGAATAAAATTTAAATTACGAGAATAAAGTCGAAATACTACGAGAATAAAGTCGAAATGTTTCGAGAATAAAGTCGAAATGTTTCGAGAATAAAGTCGAAATGTTTTGAGAATAAAGATTAAAGTTATAATATTTTTTGAGTATATTCTAGCCTAGCGCATGCAAATGGCCCGGATTGGGAGCACCGGGAGATATTCCAAAGTCTCAGCTTTCAAAATCTGTCAGTTTTATAGCGAAATACAAACAATATATTACAATAATGTGTTTTTTTTTCACGCTCTTTAATGTGGCGTGACAGATCGCTGTATTCGCTTCAGTTTAAGCAGCATGTGAGTCTTTCCGATTACAATAATGAGACATTATTTTCATTATAAATTAAGCTATACTGTTTTTTCATGATGTTCCTTCACTTTTATATCTTGCTATAATCATTTGTATTTTGTGATAAAACTGACATAATTAGAAAGCTGAGCTGTGTTATATTAAAAGCAACAAAGCACAAAATTATTGCGATTACTGGGTGGCTGGCGTGCTACAAATAATGAATGGAAGACGTTAAATATTATGTCCAATCATTTACTGTATTATACCATGAATAAAACAGCTTGTGAATAATCACTTACATGTTATAGCCTACAGGTTACCTCAGAAAAGAAAACAATATAACTTATGTTAACGAGTTGGAGGCCACTTCAACTTTTAGAACGTTTTATTAGTTAAATAGGCTACATGTGAGGAATAAAAGTTTGGACGCCACAGACGTTTTTGCGGAGTAGGTGGTGGAATTTTCACAAAGAAAACAGTATAATTTAATGAACTGGTTGACATAAATACAGTGATCTGATCATTAAAGAGCTTGAAAAACACATTATTGTAAGACACATAATTTGTTTCGCTATGAAACTGATTTTGAAAGCTGAGACTTGTATTAAAAGTAGGCCTACCAAAATCACAAAGCTTATTGCTATTGGGTGGCTGGCACACTACAAATAACGAATGCAATGGAAGACATGAAATATTATTTCCAAGCATACTGTCCCCGCGAGTATGACACGTGGTACGATTTCTGCTAATAATCCCACATATATTTGTAGTGTATTAAAAAGTGTTAAATAAGAGAGCTACACTGCCCCCCAAAGGAATGTCGATTGGGTGTGTCAGCTGATGTTGTTCCTGTTCAGTCTGTTAATAAATATCATATTCTTGAGATTAAGCTGTTTCCGCGAGTCCCCTCATCCCAGTAAGATGATGATTTCGACTTTATTCTCGAAACGTTTAGACTTTATTCTCGTAATATTTCAACTTTATTCTCGAAACATTTCGACTTTATTCTCGTAATATTTCAACTTTATTCTCGAAACATTTCGACTTTATTCTCGTAATATTTCAACTTTATTCTCGAAACATTTCGACTTTATTCTCGAAATATTTCGACTTTATTCTTGTAGTAGGCTATTTCGACTTTATTCTCTAAACATTTCGACTTTATTCTCGTAATATTTCGACTTTATTCTTGTAGTCTTTATAGATTGGACAGAACAAGTACTTCTATCATTTAAGCGGGTAGAACACAAGTCATCAGGGCAGTTATTTGAGATTTGACTTACTAGTCATATGGAGCGTAGCGTCCTGGAGATGTTGTACGACAGGAGTTCCGCTCCGACTCTGCTGGGGTGCAGGCCATCAGCGCGAAAAAGCCTAGGACGCTCCCAGAAAAGATTCCAATTATTAACAAAGAGCAGTTTCTGTTCTTTACACCATGACAATAACCATTCATTTAAAGCAAAAAGCCTACTGAACCTTTCGTGTCCTCGTCGATACGTGGGAAGCGGTCCTGACACGATGATCGTCGTCGCGGGCGATGTGCGGCGCACCGTCGCGATCAGGCTCCTGAAGTCCCTCTTCAGTGTCTCCGTCTGCCGCAGCTTGGTGTCGTTAATTAAACACTCTTCAAATGTCTTTTTAGTGTACTATATTACAAAACAAGGTCCTGCTTTATTGTAGGTGTAACACAAAATATAAAAGTATATGATTTCTACTTTTTCTAACATTTCTACTTTATTTTCATAATATTTCGACTTTATTCTTGTAGTAGGCTATTTCGACTTTATTCTCGAAATATTTCGACTTTATTCTCGTAATATTTCGACTTTATTCTTGTAGCAGGCCTCTAAACATTTCGACTTTATTTTCATAATATTTCGACTTTATTCTCGTAGTAGGCTGTATAATATTTCGCAACAGGAAGAAATATTAGAACATTTTTAATTCACATTTATATTTTAATCTAATTTATATCTGGTATAAAATGTTTTTCTCACAGTAATTTCCTAATATTTTCAGCACATAATTGAACAACATACATTTAAATGTTTTTTTCACAAATACATTAAACTCTGAATTTCTGCCAACTCTTTAATTATGTGTATATCATGTTCTATGTAAATGTTTTTAGACAGCAGCATGTGACCAGGACTTTTATTTTGGCGCGGTGATGTGATGTCATAAGTGTGCGCCGCGCTCCTGCATCTGTTGTGATTCGACTGAAGAAGGGTTTGTGTTTAAAGCATCTTTAAACACCGTACAATCAACTCGAAAGGTTTGCATGCGATGGAAAATTGTTTATTATTGACTGTAACATATTAATGCCTTATCTAAAATATATTAACGTAATTTTGTGAGTAAATAAGCACGTCCACACACGAGTAACACAAAAGTAGCGTCTCATTTATAAACATGAATTCAGTGATGGAGAAACTTGAGATGTTTAAACTCCGAGTCAATTGAATCAAATGCTTCGCCAAATGCTTCGCAGACGTCACATGCTGGTCAAAACACTTTAATTCGACACAAACGTGTTTAATTAAAACATTTTCTATTGGTTTAAGTTTTTATTTTGATACATGTGGTCAACAAATCATTAGATACAAAAAAATAACTTTCATTATAAATTATTTTATTAATGTTGCAGCGTTAGTTTTGAGTGTTTTTGTCTAATCAGGTGCCTCTACTTTGACTCCCTCACTAGTGCGCTGACTACTGAACTAGAGCACTGATTGAGACACACCCAGAGATTCAGTTTAGTTTTCTTTGTTACTCTCATCTTAATCAGGACAGAGTGTCCAAACACAGAGAAACTCCCGCTGAAGCGACTGAGAGCCTCGTCACACACTTATAAAGATGGCGTTTATTAAAGAGGAGACTGAAGACTTCAGGATTGAAGAAGTGTTCAGTCTGAAACAAGAAGAGACTGAGGAACAAACAGGTTAGTTTCATTCTCAAAGCTCTGAGATGAATGATATTTGTATGAGTGTCCTAATTAAAGTGACATGGAGCGAGTCGACCCATGTGGACAGACATGTTGAGATCACATGACAGGCAAATAAAACTAACTTTATAACAGACTTATTTTTAATCAAACTGTTTGAATATTTGTGAGTGACAAGCAGTTCAAATCAAAGTCTCAAACTGAAGAAAACATCTGTCGTGATCTTCTGTCAAGCTCAGGTGTAAATGTAGCATCATAAGTTGATCTAGGATGGGGGTTTCTTCTCCTGGGGCCTGATGAATAAAAGTTGCGTATGCACAAAATGGGCTTATCAGGAATTATTCAAAATAAAATGGGCATAAATATGTGCACACCGTACAAACACTAGACAGTGCGTACGCTGATAATTACAAAAGCAGAACTTGTGTTCTGAGGAAATATCTTCATGCAAATAATTATAAATGATGCACTCTTGACTCTAAGCAGATGGCTTAGCAACATAGATGGTGTAATGACAGACACTGAAGGACTCGCTCGTGATGGAACGGTCCATTGATTGGTTTGAATAAGAAACTCGCACACTATTGTATAAGAAGTACACAGTACTGTACAATAGGGCTGTGCAATTAATCGAATTTCAATTTCGATTTTGGGTCTCAACGATCACAAAAACTGTGTAATTGAGAAAAAACGTTTATTCAGTTTTTCAAGTTATTTTGGCCTGCGTTCCTAATGACGCACATCCGCACTTTCGCCCCTCCCGAAGCTCGAATTCTCTCAGCCTATACTGTCGGTGAAACAAGTCGCATATGTGGTATCTGGTCGCATTTAAAAATCAGCGCAAGTGAAGATGGCAGAACGAGAGCAGCCACAGAAATCTTTGGTCAACAAAAGAGGTAAAAGCAATTCCGTTGTTTGGGAACAGTTTGGATTCGAAGAAGTGGACGTGGATCAAAAACATATTAAGTGCAAGATTTGCTACGCGGTGGTGTCAGCACCGCTTGGTAACACCACAAATCTTTTTAACCATCTAAAATTTAAACACAGACCGACATATGACCAACTAATAATAAAGAAACAGAAAGAACAACGAACAACCCCCACGACGTCCTCCGCAACACAGTCATCCATTAAAGACTGACTCTTCAGTGCAACTCCTTATCCATCCAGCTCAGAAAAGCACAAAAAAATAAAAGATGCCATTGCATACTTCTTAGCCAAAGACATGTGCCCCATTAGCACGGTTGAGAACGAAGGATTCCAAAAAATGATAAATACTCTGGACAAGCGTTATGCTTTGCTATCTCGACACCATTTCACGAGAGTTGCTCTGCCTGCTTTAAATGAAAAATGCCGTGCAGAAGTGGCTAATGAAGTGTCAAAAGCAGAGTACTTCGCCACCACAACAGACCTATGGTCTAGCCGTACAATAGAGCCATACATTAGCTTAACAATACACTTCATCGGCGCCAATTTAAATTTGAATACGAAATGTCTCCAAACTGCGTTTATTCCTGAAGACCATACCGGGCAAAACATAGCCCATGGACTCAGGGAAGCTATGGCTGCATGGGGTTTAAACGAGGAAAATCTCACCTGCATCACAACATAAAGCCGGCAGCTGAGGTAAATGGATGGATGAGGCTTCAGTGTTTTGGGCACAGACTCCACTTGGCCATAGGTAAGCAGGAAACCTTCATACAGATTATATGTAATGTGATTTAATTGTACTGTCACACTAACCTTTTACTATTATTATTATTACTACCACTTGAACTACTCTTTGATGCCTTCTTACTCTGTCTTAACAAATGTTGCTTTGATGAGGGTGGCAATGATCATATAGTTGACTAAATAGTATTTATTGTAATCTTAGAGAATGCAATGAAGGATCCTAGGATCGACCGTGTAATGGGGGTCTGCAAGAAGCTCATCAGCAGCTTTTCCTATAGTTGGAAAAAAAAGAGGGAACTTGCAGAGGCACAAAAGCAGCTGAAGACTCTCTTAAAACAGAATGCCCAACCAGATGGGGATTTAGGCAGGCCATGATAGACAGAGTCCTTGAGCAGCATAAGGCCATTGCCCAGGTCCTTTCTAGCGACCGAAAACTCAGACATCTCACCCTCTCTTGGCAGGACATTGACGTACTGGAGGCCATCAATAAGTCTCTTAGCCCCCTTGTTGAATTCAGTGACGCACTTTCTGGAGAGAAATACATAAGTGTGTCTTTTCTGAAACCAACCCTCCACCTCTTCAGAAATTCAATATTGGAAGTGCAGGAGGATGACACAGACCTCGCCAAAAGCATCAAACAGAAGATAGTACACTACCTCAATGACAAATACAGCGACACAAGAGTTACTCGACATGGCCTCTGCCCTGGACCCAAGGTTCAAGCTTAAATATGTCAACAAAGACAACCGAGGGTCTATTGAAGACAGACTGACAGCAGAGATGAAGAGTGTGATGACTGACATGGTGGTAATAATAATAATAATAATGATAATAATAATGAAAAGTTAAGTGGATTAATGTGTTGACAAAATAATTTGAACATTTAATACCACAACCTCAATTCTTGTTTTTCTTTAATATGTTCCCTCCAAGGAGAACGCCCCTCTTGAGACAGAGGATGCTGCTACTGCTCCAAAGAAGAAGAAGAAGGGCCTGGGCAGCTTCTTCAAGGTCACCACAGACAAAGCTGCTGGACCTCCTCTGCAACAGGACCAGGCCATAACTGTTGAGCTACAGTCGTACCTGCAGACAGAGACACTGGATGCTGAGGAAGACCCACTGACGTGGTGGAGGGAATCTCAGAGGATCTACCCACGGCTTTCCAAACTGGCAAGGAAATATCTTTGTATTCCAGCCACAAGTTCTTCATCAGAGCGAGTCTTTAGCACTGGTGGAAATATTGTCTTGCATTCATCACTGAAACCAGATCATGTGAATAGGCTGGTGTTTCTGGCTAAAAACCTTTAAGGCTTAGATGTGTAACCCTATCAGCATTTTGGCCACGTTGGCCTGAAACATGTTTAGTCTAAAGTTGAAGTTAAACTTATTTTCTGTTAGTTCTAAGCCATGGTGGGCCAGCCTTAAAATATTATTGGACTGAGACGAGTTACTGACTGGAATGTGTTTGTTTCAAATGTAGAATGTTGTAAAATGTTATTTAAAACTTCTCAGTTAGTTTGTTAAGGCACATATGTGAGCAAACTTATTTTGGTATAATTTATTATTTTATCTAATATTTGTATTGTATTTATTATTTGTTTTTAAGAGATTGTGGAAGTGCGCTCTATTGTTGATCTTATTTGCCTTTATTTTATATGCTGTTTATACATTTGAATATATTTTATATTTGTTTTAAGGAGGATTCACTGTTAAATAAATGCAACATATTTCCAAAGTCAATGAATAATCGTTTAAAATAATCGCAATTTCAATAATTACCAAAATAATCGTGATTATGATTTTTCCATAATCGAGCAGCCCTACTGTACAACTTTTGCTGCTGTTGGTGTCTTGTGCAGACAGACAGTAGACTAATGATAACCAGTTCCATGGTCTTCCCAATATTATGATAAATACCATTGTATTTGAAGGATAGAATTTGAAGGAAATGTGCGAGAACCAACAGGATTCATTCTTGTGTGTTACGCAGCATGTTTGAGGTTCACAAGAACCAATAAGATTCATTCTCGTGCAAATTTGATTAAGTCATATGCGGCTTTGTGTTGTTTTGCGGCTCGATCACTCGAATTTCCACATTTTAACAATATTAATAACACAACTAAAATGAGGGAACAAATAAATAAGTTAAGGCATGGCCACGTTGTACTAATTTGATGCTTAGTTTTACTGTAAAGAGAGAAGAAATCAATGTAACATGAGCCGTGGCCACAAATTAAAGTCATAGGAATGAATTATTAATATTTTTTTAATATAAACATTCAGCTTCATGTGTGGCCTAGACATTTTACACACACCAGTAATTCAGTTTAGCTTTCCCCCAGCACAACATCTAATATAAGTGTCTGGCTCGTGCAGAAAATATAATTCACTTTTATGACAATTTACAAACAGTTTCAGTTTCTTTGAATTATTATTATTTTTGTCAATTAACTGATCAGTGATTAATTATTAGCATCGCTAATTGAGATATGTTTATAATTAACTATATCTCCTGGGTCAAACTGTGCTTTTTTAATAAAGGGTTTAACTGCCAGCTAAAAGACCTAAAGAAAGTTAGTAATATTGTGAAGAGCAGCGTTTCTCAACTCTGACCCTCAAGGTCCCCTTTTCTGAAACCTTGATAAAACTCAACTGCCTTTAACTTTCAAATAATACAGAAGACTTTGATTAGTATGTACAGGTGTGTTTGATTAGGGTTTGAGCTAAACTCTGAAGGAAAGGGGTTTCAAGGGCCAGAGTTGGGAACTTCCAGCAGGTGTTTTGGGGCAAGTAGGACAGTGGCCTCCAGAGCAGGTTTGGACATTTCTGGTACAGGGTCTAGCATACATGTTGTTGCTTTTGATGCATTACATACCTAAATGTTTTGATGTCTGTTGTATTGTGCCATTAAACTTGGGATAACTTTTATTTGTTTGTTTTTTTTCTTCACTTTAGACTTAATAGCAATGAAAGAGAAAGAAGTACTGAATGAAATTGAAGAGAAAGATCAATATGGGAATCTTCATGATTTCACAACTGGAGAAAAATCTTTTAGACGTTCGCAGACTGAAAAGACTTCCACACGAAAAAAAGCTCAAAGAAGTTATTTCACTTTCAATCAACAAGGAAACCTTAAAGTCCACACTGGAGAGAACCCTTTCACCTGCCAACACTGTGGAAAAAGTTTCACTCGTAAAGTAAGTCTTGACGTGCATATAAGAATTCACACTGGAGAAAAGTCGTACACATGCCAACAGTGTGGAAAAAGTTTCACTCAAAAAGGAAGTCTTAACACGCACATGAGAATTCACGCTGGAGTGAAGCCTTACACATGCCCTGAGTGTGGAAAGAGTTTCCATCAACATATAAACCTTAAAGCCCACATGAGGTTTCACACTGGGGAGAGCCCTTTTACCTGCCAACAGTGTGGACAAAGTTTCAATCATATAATCAGCCTTAAGAGGCACATGAGAGTACACAATGGAGAGAACCCTTACACATGTCAGCTGTGTGGTGAGAGTTTTGCTCAACTTGTAAACCTTGAAGCCCACATGACAATACACAATAGAGAGAGTCCCTTCACCTGCCAACAATGTGGAAAAAGTTTTGCTCATAAAGGTAGCTTTAACGTCCACATGAGAGTTCACACTGGGGAGAAGCCTTACACCTGCCAACAGTGTGGAAAGAGTTTCTCTCAAAAAGGAAGCCTTAACTTGCACATGACTGTTCACACTGGAGAAAAGCATTACACTTGCCCTGAGTGTGGAAAGAGTTTTGCTCATTATGGAAACCTCAACGTCCACATGAGAGTTCACACTGGAGAGAAGCCTTACACCTGCCAACAGTGTGGAAAGAGTTTCACTCGTAAAGTAAATCTTGACATGCATATAAGAATTCACAAAGGAAAAAAGTTGTACACATGCCAACAGTGTGGACAAAGTTTCAAGCATAAAGTAAGCCTTAACAAGCACGTGAGAATTCACACCGGAGAAAAGCCTTACACATGTCAGCAGTGTGGTGAGAGTTTTGCTCAGCGTGTAAACCTTAAGGTCCACATGAGAGTCCACACTGAAGAGAACCCTTACACATGCCTTCGTTGTGGTGAGAGTTTTGCTCAACTTGTAAACCTTAAAGTCCACATGAGAGTCCACAATGGAGAGAACCCTTACACATGCCAACAGTGTGGAAAGAGTTTTGCTCAGCGTGTAAACCTTAAAGCCCACATGACAATACACAATGGAGGGAGTCCCTTCACCTGCCAACAATGTGGAAACAGTTTCACTCAGAAAGGAAGCTTTAACGTCCACATGAGAATTCACACTGGGGAGAAGCCCTTCACCTGCCAACAGTGTGGAAAGAGTTTCTATCAAAAAGGAAGCCTTAACTGGCACATGACTGTTCACACTGGAGAAAAGCATTACACCTGCCCTGAGTGTGGAAAGAGTTTTGCTCATCATAGAAACCTTAACGCCCACATGGTAATTCACACTGGAGAGAGCCCTTTCACCTGCCAACAGTGTGGAAAATGTTTCACTCGTAAAGAAAGTGTTGACAGGCACATGAGAGTTCACACTGGAGAGAAGCCTTACACATGCAAACAGTGTGGAAAGAGTTTTGCTCAACTTGGAAACCTTAAAGCCCACATGAGAGTTCACACTTAAAAGAGTCCCTTCAGCTGCCAACAGTGTGGACAAGTTTTCAATCATAAAGGACTCCTTAACAGGCACATGAGAATTCAAACAGGAGAAAAGCCTTACATCTGCCAATAAAGTGTATAAGTTCTGCTCAAAAAGGAAACTTTAACAGGCACACAAGAATTCCCACCAAAAGGAACCTCTGCACCTGCCAACTGTGTTTAGAGAGTTTTACTCAACATGGAAACTTTAGATTCCACAATAGAATTCACACTGAATAGAACACTTACTCCTGCCCTCAGTGTGGAAAGTGTTTCACTCAAAAAGAAACCCTTAATAGGCACATGTGAATTCACACTGGAGAGAAGCCTTACACCTGCCAACAGCGTGGAAAAAGTTTCACTCAACATCAAACCTTAAAAGACCACATGAAAATTCACACTGGAGAGAAGCCTTATTAGTTATGAACTTGTTCTTTGCTTAAGGGTTAAAAAGTTCAAAATACCTGAGCAGCAGGCTTAGCACATCTCAAGTGGCGTTTAGATGAATATGTATTTACTTTCAATAACAAAATAAACAGTATTTGTGGTAGCATCTGATCATTGTGATGTTCATTTTATTCAGCACTGCAGTCAAGTCTTGTTCCATTTATTGATACAATTGATTTCTATATATAGCAAGTAGCTGTAACATCTGCTTAGGATCATTGATGATTATTTTGCCTTTGTCTTAGAGTCCCTTTTATCCTTTTGACATTTGCAAATCAATCCAATCCAATGAGAAGAAAGTCACACTCGGTACCAGGAACCAAATGCCTGGTGGCCAGCAAACTCCCCCCATGCTCACATACACATAGCGCACACACATAAAGACATTATCTTTATTTAGGCTATAATAAGTGGTTATAAATGTATCTAGTATATGCATGTGTTGTATATATGTTCCCCTATTATATTAGCCTAGTCACAACTCTTTATTTGTATTAGTTAAACTCTAAATGCCTGTTCCCAAGTTAAGCCCGGAGAGCCCAGAGGCTCACAAATGCCCGCCCACCCACTCCTGCCTGCCTCCTCCACCGCTGTCGTCTGGTAGCCCCTCTACTCGCCCTCAGTCCACCATCTGTATGGTGCAAGCTCCGCGGGTCTGCCATCCTCCATCGTCATCGTGGCTGCAGAATCCCTGGCCTCCGCCTCCAGCCTCTAAGCCCCGGACTCCGCCTCGGCCCGTCGACTCAGCGGCTCCACCTTGGCTCCTAGCTCCCGCCTCTCCGCCGTGGCCCATCAGTCCACTGGCTCCACTGGGCTCCCTTTTCTTGTGGTTTTTAGTTATTCCTCTTCTCCTTCAGAGACTCTCCTCCTTCAGATACAGCCTTCGGACCCTTTTGGAACTTTACTCACGAACTCACTTCGTTTGAATTAGCCGTGGACCAACTCCTCCTGGAAGACCCACAAGAACAACGCCAGCATGCTACGTTGAACTCAGCCTTTCCCAACATTTCGGACTCTCTCATTGCACATCAAAACCAATGCAAGTAACCTTTCTAGTAACCGTCAGATGTACTGTTGTCACGCCCCTGGACTCTGTTTGCTTTTGCTCCCCATGTGCTCCGTGACCTAGTTTTCCCTTGTGTTTGATTGTTCATTGCTCCCAGGTGTGTCTTGTCAATTACCTTGTTAAGTTGTGTATTTAAAGTGTAGTCTGCCCCATGTTTTCTTGCCGGGTCTTAAACATCTATTCTCGTTTTGCTACCTGTGTGTTCCTGCCCTGTATTCCTTGTTCCAGTGGATTATTAAAGACTGTGTTTGTGTTCATCCCACGACTCCTCATTCCTCGTGCCTCGCTGTAGTGCAACCGTGACAGAAGACCCGACCAACGGGTTTTGTTTCCGTTGTTTGTACAGTGTTTTTTTCCCCGTTTTTCCAATGGATCCCTTCGACCCCTTATCCCGTCCTGAATATCTCCTCCTCCTGCTGGAGCAGGGGGAGAGATCGCTCGAGGACTATACCGGACTGTTTCTTGCGGACCGACCTGCCCCCTCTCCTCCCTCCTTTGTCAGAGCCCTCTGTCACTCCTGTTTCCAAGTCCAGCCCAAGGAGGGCTCCTGTTCCCAAGTGAAGCCCTGAGAGAGACTCTGTTCCCAAGCTAAGCCCAGAGAGGGCTCCTGTTCCCAAGGAGAGCCCAGAGGCTCACAAATGCCCGCCCACCCACTCCTGCCTGCCTCCTCCACCGCTGTCGTCTGGTAGCCCCTCTACTCGCCCTCAGTCCACCATCTGTATGGTGCAAGCTCCGCGGGTCTGCCATCCTCCATCGTCATCGTGGCTGCAGAATCCCTGGCCTCCGCCTCCAGCCTCTAAGCCCCGGACTCCGCCTCGGCCCGTCGACTCAGCGGCTCCACCTTGGCTCCTAGCTCCCGCCTCTCCGCCGTGGCCCATCAGTCCACTGGCTCCACTGGGCTCCCTCGTCCCTCCAGGTCTGCCTTGGTCTGTCGTCGACCGTCTGTCGCCTCGGCACTCCACTCCTCTGGCTACGCCTCGTGCCTCCGTCTGTGTCAGGCTCCTCCTTCCATTCGGCTCCTCCTCAGTCCTCTTTCGCTGCGGCTTCACCGTGGCCTTTTGGATCCCCGCCTCCATCTCGGTCGCTGGCGCCATCTGCTCCGCCTTGGCCCTCCGGATCCTCCCCGTCGCCCTGGCTCATCGGCTTTCTGTCTCCGCCTCGGGCTCCTCCGCAACCTGCTCCGCCGCAGTCGGTTGGCGCCCTGGAGTCGTCAGCCCTTCCTCCTCCATGGCTCCTCCCTCCGTCGGCTCCACCGTGGGTCACCATTGTGACTGTGGCCTGGGTCCCATCTAGTCCCTCCTGTTTCCTCCCTCTGTCTGATCCGCCCTGGTCCCTCCTGTTTCCTCCTTGGCTCCTCCCTCCGTCTGATTCGCCCTGGTCCCTCCTGTTTCCTCCTTGGCTCCTCCCTCCGTCTGATCCGCCCTGGACTCTGTCTGCCGGCCCCCTCCCGGTTTTCCGACCTCCTTCTGAGCCTCCTCCCAAGTTCCCACCCGTCCCTCCGTCTGTTGTTTCTACGGCGCGAGGACGTGCCTTCCTGGAGGGGAGGGCGATATGTCACACCCCTGGACTGTCTGTGTATGCTTTTGTTCCCCATGTGCTCCGTGACCTAATTTTCCCTTGTGTTTGGTTGTTCATTGCTCCCAGGTGTGTCTTGTCTATTACCTTGTTAAGTTGTGTATTTAAAGTGTAGTCTGCCCAATGTTTTCTTGTCGGGTCTATTCGTCATTTGGTGCTATGTGTGTCTCCTGCGTGCCCTGTGTTCCCTGTAATTTGGATCATTAAAGACTCGTATTTGTGTTTACATCTCCTCGCTCCTCACAGTAGCAGTGTGACAACTGTAAATTTAACCCCTTTTATAAAATGGTGATGTTGTCTCCTTGCTGGCTCTTATAGGCAGTGGTGGAAAGAGTACTAAGAAATTGTACTTAAGTAAATTATTCTTTAAGTAGCAATACTTTTACTTGTCATATTATTTTTCAGTACTTTTACTTGTACTCAAGTAAGAGTAAAAAAATAGTTTGTAACGTAGTAACTTGAGTAGTTTTTCAGCAAAGTACTTTAGTATTATTTTTCTATTTTTACCCAAAACAGATACAGCCTTCGGACCCTTTTGGAACTTTACTCACGAACTCACTTCGTTTGAATTAGCCGTGGACCAACTCCTCCTGGAAGACCCACAAGAACAACGCCAGCATGCTACGTTGAACTCAGCCTTTCCCAACATTTCGGACTCTCATTGCACATCAAAACCAATGCAAGTAACCTTTCTAGTAACCGTCAGATGTACTGTTGTCATATTTTTACCCAAAATGAGACGATGTGAGCATTATGGAGCAGGGTTAACCCTAATTCTAACACCCATGTACTGTAATGTCTTTTTCACAAGTGAGACCCAGGAAATCCCTTATATGGATAAATGCATCAGATATCACTACAGCTGACTAACATGCAGATAGAGACGCTTTGACTGATGAAACGTGGAAGACAATAAACACCCAATTGCAATACAATGCTAACTGACATAGCTTGTATCACAGTAAAGATTATTATAAAGAATATTTTCTGTCTCGTTCTGTGATAAGAAGCAACATGGAACTACAGAAGCTGTTTCAAACACGACTGATGTTATATAGGGATTTTGGAGCAAAACATGATATTAGTCTCATAAATTGTCATGTTTGACACTATGTTAAGCAAACATACTACCTATCCTCCCTGTTGCCAGGAGCAGCCGTTTTATAACTAATTTTGAAAATTACATTAAGGTATAAGATTATGTGGTTGTTTTTAAGAAGGGCAAAAGCAAAGAAGGGTAAGTGAGGGTTTAAAACAGTGAATGGAAAGGTGCCAGTAAAAAATAAATTGGGGGTTATGGTTAAGTTTGGGCATCGTTTGAATTTTAATGATTCCAATTCTTGTCAATTCCCAATTTCGATTCCAATAAGGTAAAAATAAATAAATAAATTAATTAATTAAAAATCTTATCAACTTATTACAAAATATTTCCTTGTTAGCTGAATACTATGAATGAAAACTTGAATGGTGTTCTTGACTTGATTGGTTCAAAATCACATTGAAAGTGTAGTTTGTAATAATAACAAAGGTGGACTCCAGGCACATTTTCGGTAGGAGAAAAATAGCATTTTATTTAACATGTTAACCCATACCTAGGCTTGGGAATCCAAAATCTATTCCAATTCTGGAATAGGATGCTTAAGGTCAGGAATCTTCTACTTGTTATGAGCTGGAGGGAGGCAATCATCCGGTGTCTGGAGAGTGTCTACCTCCGATCCAGAACACAGCCAAACCCAGTGCCCAGCCGACCATCTCCCCGCTGCGCGGAGCGCAAGTCCGAGCCCACCGCTGACGAAGAGCCTGAGCCCATCATGACTTACGAGCAATCGCCTAGGAGTGTGACAGAGCTGAGGATCGTAAAAAATAAATTGGGGGTTATGGTTAAGTTTGGGCATCGTTTGAATTTTAATGATTCCAATTCTTGTCAATTCCCAATTTCGATTCCAATAAGGTAAAAATAAATAAATAAATTAATTAATTAAAAATCTTATCAACTT